CGCTCTGTCACCTGGGCTGGAGAACAGTGGTGTGATCTTGGCTCACTGCAACCTCTGCCTCCTAGGTTCAAGTGATTCTCCTGCCTTAGCCTCGCCAGTAGCTGGGACTACAGGCTTGTACCACTACACTCAGTTAAGTTTTGTAATTTTAGTAGAGATAGGGTTTCACCATGTTGGCCAGGCTGGTCTTGAAGTCCTGACCTCAAGTGATCCACATTCCTTGGCTTCCCAAAGTGCTGGGATTACAGGTGTGAACCACTGCGCCTGGCCAATAATTTGCTTTTTATATTTCTACCTATTTATTTAATTTTTTGGATAGGCAGCATATTCACATGGTTCAAATATCAAAATGTGTAACAGATACCCAAGGAAGAATCTTGCTTCCAACCTGGCTCCTTCCCATCCCAAATTGCCTTGTACCTCACCCAGGGGCAATCATTGTTGCAGTTACATGTGTTTACTTCCAGTTTGGTTGCATTGATATCCATGAAAATACAAGCAAATACTATATATTTTTATGTCCACCTCTTTTACAAAATATGGTAGCACTTTCTACACGCTAGCCTGCAATGTTAATTTAATTAGCTTTTCCATGGGGGATGAGAGGGAGAGGAGATGAAGAATGTCTGACAGCTATCCAGGGAATTTGCATAATTGCTCAGTGAATTAGCAGAATGGCGAATTTGGGGAATGTTCACTAGTTCAGACTAGTAAGAATGTATTAAACTTCTTTCTTCTTCATTTCTTTTTTTTTCCTTCCTCCCTTACCTTTTCTCTTTCTTTCTCTTTCCCTTGCTTTCTTCCTCTCTCCCTTTCTCTCTTTCTTTATTTTGAAGTGGGTTACTTCTCCAGGTATTTGCTACTATCTTGACCTGCATGAACATTGTTGACCTTGATCTTTGTGGCTGAGACACACAGCTCCCCACTGAGCAAGCCCCTAGGTTGGTCTTACTGCACGGCTTTCCTTACGCCAAACAGAGATGGCTATCCACTGGCAGATCATCTCTAGCCAAAACGCGCAGATATGTTTCTCTCGGCTTTAGTGAGAGACTCAAAGTAAAGTTTGTCTCTTGGAATTCATCTGCCTATCGAGTGTAATTGTGCTTGGGTAAGTACTCAGCAAATAATCAAATGATTTCTGCTTCTCTACTCCTGGGAATGCAAACCTTTGTGGTGCCAGTTCAGAAGAACCCTTTGAACTGCTCTTGTCAACATCATGTGGGGATTCTTCTGCCAGGGCCAGCATTGTCAAATGCTGCCAATTCTTGCTCAATATTTTAACAAACATGTTGAGTGGAAATCAACTGGTTAGTTGGAGGAGCCAAATCAATGTAGGAATATGATCAGTGTTGCAAAGCGAGGAGTGGGACAGGAACTCTCTTCCTCATCCCTTAAACAGAGACAATTCTCTTCTCTCTGCCCTGCAGACTGGTTTAATCTAATCACCAAACGTGCCAGATGCCTGACCCTGGGGAGGCATTGGAGATAAATCTGCACTTAGTCTCTCCAGCAATTTAAAAATACTTTTGCAATAATCTGAATGAATTCTTTGAGGGAGATAACTTTTACATAGTGGATCTTTTATTTTTCCTTTATGGCCAGAGTCTCCCGTAGGCCCTGAAAAGCATCATTAACCTTTTAGGCACAGTAAGATCCATTAAGCCTTAAAGTGAGGTGTTGGATACCAGTGTTTCTTCCCTACCTGAAGCCGCTCTTATGTCCTGGGTGATTTCCAACTGCAGGTGGTTATGAAAGGAAATGTTCAGGGGGCTTTGGCTTTCAATGTATTGTTCAGGAATTTTTCCTTTTCCCACAAACATATATTATGAGAAATAACTTGATGTTGTGGGCTTCCACAGGATGTGGTCTCCCTCACTCTGGACCTGCAGGGAGCTGGGGGAGGCTGTAGTTAGTAGCGCAGTTGGTGACGGTAAGACAAATGGTTAACGTCTTAGATTTCCTCTGCAGCCCCTCTGAAAGATGTGTGGGACAGCCCTGTAATTCACCCAGGGGTGATCTGTCACGGCGTTGGATGGGTTTCAGGCTACACTGTTTAGACAAAGAAAAAGAAGCGGGTCCTGTCCTGGATAAAGGCGGATGTGAATGATCATATTTATGGTGGGTTCTGTGTCCCTGTGTGCACGTGAGGACTCTCAGTTTCTTAGGCCTCCTTCCATTCATTCTGGAGTATGTGAGGCTGCTTTAGTTTTGCCCCAGAGAGAGGGAGAAAGGGGCTTTTCTGGTGAGGTCAGGCATTAGGTCTGGAGTGGGGGGTAGAGAAGATCTTTCTTCCTCTTTTCCTGAGAAAAGAATCTAATTTTGAGAATCCCTAGGGTTTGCTCAGCATTTTGTTCTCTTTCTCCTACTCCCTACCTTGAGGTCAGAAGGGCCCCCATGGAGCAGAGGACCTGTGGGCTCAGGGGCACTATTTTCTCAAGGCAAGTAAGTTACTTTCTTCTGGGGCTGTTCATTTTTCCATTTTCCATTTCCTGGAGTTTTTTTTTTTTTATTTTTATTTTTTGAGACAGAGTCTCACTCTGTCGCCAGGCTGGAGTGCAGTGGTGCAATCTCAGCTCACTGCATCCTCCACCTCCCGGGTTCAAGCCATTCTCCTGCCTCAGCCTCCTGAGTAGCTGGGATTACAGGCATGCACCACCACACTCAGCTAATTTTTGTATTTTTAGTAGAGACGGGGTTTCACCATGTTGACCAGGCCGGTCTCAATCTCCTGATCTAGTGATCCACCCGCCTCCGCCTCCCAAAGTGTTGGGATTACAGACGTGAGCCACTGTACCCGGCCCACTTCCTGGAATTCTCTGCACCATCACTGCCTCCTTTCTGTCCTCCACAGTTTCTGGTGTCATTGTGTTCTTAGGCCATGCAGGGCCCCCATTTTTCTGACTAAGGTTAGATGCAGACCAGTCCTCAGTCCTCACTTCTTCACCCTTCTTTACAACTTCTGATGCTTTCCTGGATTTAGTTGCTTAAATCCATGCTGTGTGGAGGTCTTGAGTACAGATGGCCTCTTGCTGATTTCAAATATCCATTTCAGCCTGACTTATATTTTGGAACTGCTGCAGGAGCCGGGGTTCCTGCTGTCGTGGTAAAGTCACCTTGAGCTTCTTGGTTTAATCTCTGGAAGGCCGTCTTTTGGTGTTTGGTGGTTCATTTGTGTGTGTGTGTGTGTTTTTTTTTTTCCATGAGGTTGGGAGGGCAGCATGCATGGCTTTGGAGCTGGAAAGACAAGAATTTAAATGCTGGCTCTCTCACTTTCTAGGAGTGGATCTGGGGCAGTTTCAGTATCTCAGGACTTTTGTGTGCGCAATGGGAACAATAATACCTCTCTTTCCTGTGCTCCTGGAGCCTGGGTTAGATAAAAGAGTGCTCATACACCACCTCTGCACCAGAGCAGACATGCAACTATGTTAACTTCTTTCTCCTTCCCTTTCTCTTTACCCATCTTTTTCCCCTTTTGTTACCACATTTTCATCTGCCTTTCCCATAGTCAGGACTTTACACCTGGATTAGAGTTCAGCTTCTTCTGCCTTTAGACTGCAATGCTGTTTCCTAGCCCCATAGCTGTGACCCCTACTGCCACAATTTATACGAGTTACTGTGTAACCTGAGCAAGTGTTAGGAATTAGTACATACATTAAAATGTCTCCTGTAGACATTTTGCTTTAGGCAGTGATGGAGAACCCATTTGTCTCCAGGCAGATGTTGCTATTGGGCAGTCTAAAGAAAGGCTTGGCTGTGAACACAAGTAGGAATAGGCTGGCAAACACCATAGTTTACTTGTTTGGATTGGACGGGATATACACTGTCCTTTGCGGCTGCCGCCAGTGAGGTCCTGGAAAGCACACAGGAATTTCAGGCCTTGTAGCCAATCATGGCTTAGGATGCAGGGGTTGCAGATGCATTGATCTGACCACCTTCCTGTGGTTTCTCTCAGCCTGGCTCTTTGGGGCTGAGAACTGCTGCCTCCACTGGAGGGGATTTGTGTGGAGACTGACATGTGGATCCTTGGGCAAAACCAGGCCTTAGTCATAGTCGAAACTTTAGACCATGTATATAACTTTAGACCCTAAAGCATATGTTCTCAATGGGAGCAATGTCACCCCCAAGAGGATGAAACTGGTTCTCGGAGAGCAAAATCTTTTAAATAATTTTTTTGGTATAAATCAAAGGTATGTGCACAACACATGGATATACAGAATATCCTTAATGATAAAATTTTGTGGAGGGCATTTAGGGATAAAAATGTCTAAAAAGCCTCCAAAGGGAAACATAATGAAAAAAAAAGATGGAGAAACGTTGGTCTTGGGCAGTGGTTCTCAGTGTTGGTTACACACTAGAATTATTGAAAGAGTTTTAAAAATGTTGATGCCTAGGCTGTACTCTAGACCAATTAGATCACAATCTCTGGGACAGGTTTCAGTCACTAGTATTTTTATTTATTTATTTATTCTCTCTCTCTTTCTCTCTCTCTCTCTGTCTGTCTCTCTCGTCTCCCAATGTTACGCAGGTCTTAAACTCGTGGGCTCAAGGGATCCTCCTGCCTGGGCCTCCAAAAATGCTAGGATTACAGGTATAAGCCACCGCACCCAGCCCAGCCACAAGTATTTTTAATGCTTCAGATAATACCGTTGTGCAGCCAAGTCTAGTAACTCCTATTCTAGAGCCTTGGTACTCAGAGTGTGATCCATGGGTCAGTATCATTACCATCTCCAGGGAGTTTACTAGAAATGCAGAATCTCAGACTCTTAGGTGATTCCTGCACCTATTAAAGTTTGACAAGCACTTGGATAAATACTTACTGCTACCAAAATCTCAGAGCACTTCAATGCAGCTGTGTTAATCAAATGTCAGCATGTTTCTTGCTGTTTGTTTCAGGGCCTCACTGTTGGCCTTTGGAACGAACAACCTGGTGTAATGGGAGTGGCCCTAGGCTGCATTTGTGTTCTGACATGTTGGGAAGCCCCACCATCTCAGAAACTGAACAGACAGCTCATTCCCAGGAAGGGGAGCAATGTAAGCAAAGACGGCCAAGTCCAGTCAGCTGGAACTAAGTAAGGGAGGATCTCACTGTTAAACCAATTACTTTAGAGTTGGTAGTTCTTGAGTAAGAAGCTGGTGCATGGATGCATGGAGAGTGACGTTTGGGGCAGGACTAACTTGGCAAGGCTACAGGATGGACAAGAATCGAGAAAGACTGGGAAGTTGGAAAACTGCTTGTATCTTGTGAGGTCTATGTGAGGTCTGTAGCTCGTTCATTTGTTCATTCATGTATTAATTCATTCAACAAATAATTTATTGAGTGGTCACTATTTGGATTTGATGTGGAGTAATTGTTATGGAAAAAAGAAGGATAAATGTGACAGACCTTGAAAGGGAGAGCTTTGGAAATAATGATTCAAAGAAATATGCTAGGAGTAAGCTGGCTTCTATTTTTATTTCTTTCTTTTTCTCTTTTTTTTGAGACGAAATTTTGCTCTTGTCACCCAGGCTGGAGTGCAGTGGCATGACCTCAGCTTACTGCAACCTCCACCTCTAGGGTTCAAGTGATTCTCCTGTCTCTGCCTCCCAAGTAGCTGGGATTACAGGTGCCCGCCACCACACCCAGCTAATTTTTGTATTTTTGGTAAAGACAGGGTTTCGCCATGTTGGCCAGTCTGGTCTCAAACTCCTGACCTCAGATGATCAACCTGCTTCGGCCTCCCAAAGTGCTGGGATTACAGGCGTGAGCCACTGTCCCGGCATCTATTTTCATTTAATTTTTAATTTTAAAGTATTTAATGATTTAATATTCAATTATTGACAAAGATTGTATGTATTTAAGGTGTACAGTGATGATTTAATATATGTATGTACTGTGTAACAATTATCACAATCAAATTAATTAACATGCTACCCACACTGTGCCTTAGATCATCTTATAACTTAAAGTTTGTACCCTTTGATCAACATCTCCCCATGTCTCCTGTTCCTGCAGCTTCTGGCAACCACCATTGTATTCTCTGTTTCTATGACTATGACATTTTTAGTTTCCACAGATGAGTGAGATCACACAGTATTTGTCTTTCTGTGCCTGGCTTATTTCACTTAGCATAGTGTCCTCCAGGCTCATTTACATGATCTCAAATGGCAGACATTTTTTATGTCTGCCATTTTTATGGCTGAATAATTCCTGTGTGTGTGTGTGTGTGTGTGTGTCTACATTTTCTTTATTCATTCATCCACTGATGAACATGTAGGTTGTTCCCGTATCTTGGTTATTGTGAATAGCTCTGTGACAAACACAAAGGTACAGCTATCTCTTGGAGACACTGATTTCATTTACTTTGGATAAGTGAGATTATTCAACTGTGGGATTGCACTAATTGATACAGCCATAGGGGAAAACAGTATAAAGGCTCCTGAAAACATTAAAAAATAGAACCACCGTATATTCTAAAATCAGCTAGCTTTAATCAACTTAAAAATACTGGCTTATTTATCAAAATCTAAAGATACAAAATCTTTCTAAAATCTAGGGCTTGGCTGGGCGCGATGGCTCATGCCTGTAATCCCAGCACTTTGGGAAGGGGAGGCAGGCAGATCACGAGGTCAGAAGATCGAGACCATCCTGGCTAACACGGTGAAACCCCGTCTCTACTAAAAATACAAAATAACTAGCTGGGCGTGGTGGCGGGTGCCTGTAGCCCCAGCTACTCGGGAGGCTGAGGCAGGAGAATGGCGTGAACCCGGGAGGCGGAGCTTGCAGTGAGCTGAGATTGCGCCACTGCACTCCAGCCTGAGCAACAGCGCGAGACTCTGTCTCAAAAAAAAAAAAAAAAAAAAAAAAAAAAAAAAATATATATATGGCTTACAAAGTAGTTTTGTAAACAAATGACTTTGAAAATAAGTGGAGTTTCATATCATCCATGCTAATTTACAAGGAAAACATCATTTCTGGAGTATTTTGCACCTCTAGTTTTAGATGGACATAGGTTTTGGATTAGCATCTTGTAATTTTCCTTTTCTCATTGTCACAAACTATTTCTTGATGGTTTGTGAAACGTTATTAGAGGGGTATAAAACTGGTGAGTCCATCACTATTCAGGCTGACTTAGGTTGTGAGCTGATATATTACCAAGGCACTCCTTGGGGTTTCTGCATCTACCTGACTACTTCATGGATAATCATTCTTAATTGTGGTTTCATAATTTAGCCAATTTATGGTTACTGGGATAAAGCATTTGAAGCTATTATGTAGCTAATGGTGTAGACATTTTCATATCTTTGTCTTTAGGGTGATGAATGTAAAAGGTGCGTAACTCCTCCACTAACATTAACTTCTCACACTTAAAATATTGAATGAAACAATTTAGTGTCCTTGACAGTGTAATAGATTTTGTTTAATAGGTAATGTCTAAACCTGGACCTAGTTCACCTCATTTTAGCAAATGTAATTTTTCCCACAAGGAGTGTTCAATGTAAATCTATCAGACACATGTGGATCTATGTGACCTGGTAACAACCCCTCTGGAGGTAACATAAGAATCACTTCTATTCCCATTACCACATAATTGGTAAGGGTGACCTGGAATGATAAGAGTAATGTAAAATAAAGCAAAGGTATTTCACTCATATGTCCCCTTATTTGCAAAAAAGCATGCATATTCCACATTCACAAAGAAACAGTTTACTTTTTAGTGTTATATATTTACACAGTTTCATTAACAGTTCCTAAATATTCTTCCTAGCACTGTCATGAGATTGGTCAGATTTCCCCCCTTAGTCTTTTCAAACCACACACGGAAAGCACAGAGAGATGAGACAAAGAGGAGCTTGGTTGACATCTCCTGAACAGAACGTTCTTCTGTGCTGGGTTTTCCATTGCACTCCAGCCTGGGTGACAAGGGCAAAATCAGATCACCCTGGGTTTTGACACCAGCTCATTCACTAGCTATTTGCTTCATTCATTTGTTTGCTCATCCAATATGCACTTATTTGAGTACCATGTTTCAGAAATAGTTATGTAGATACGTAACACTTATTGACCTTGTGGAGTCTACAATTGCCTTTAATGGATGTCATCAAATGAATGAAACCTTTATTCCTTATCCATAAGATGGGATAATAACCCCAAACTCCTGGGATGGAGATGAGGAATAAACAAGCCAGCAGGTGCTCAATAATGATAGTTGTTTCCAAATGTTTGTCAGGAACCACTTAACACCGTATGGATAAATGTTGCTCCTACTCCAAGATTCAATGTCCCTTTCTACTTCTTGGCTACAAGAAAAAGTGGTGGTAGTATAGGCAATAAGAAGTTAAAGGTGTTTTCTGGGCCCTCAAAAGTAAACACACTTTATCATTTTTTATTCTGTAAACTTTCCCAGAGCATCTAGGGAACACTGTTGATAGAAAAGCCACTGCACAAAGCCTTGCTGATGAAGAATTTCATCTTTTCAACAGTGACTATGTGAAGGACTCAAAAAAAGTCCTGAATTTGTAGACAAATTCACTCCCTGAGGGCTCAATGAACTAAAAGCAGTATGCATGCCTGAGGTGACCATTTGGTCCATAATTTTATTCAGAGTGGCGACTTTGGCAGGTGACAAGAATGCCAACTACGTTGAGCAAGAATCAGGAGATGAGGTTGGAAAGGTGGGCAGGGTGGAGCATGGAAGGCCTTGAATGACCACCATGACCACCACTGGAGAGTGGTGAACAGGGAATGACATGATTTGATTTGGGCTTTAGAAATATCTCTTTTAGATGTAGTATGGGGAAGGACATGGGGGCAGAGGTAGGTCAACAACAGTGGAGAGAAATAACACAGAAGGAGAAAATTGCAGCAACTCAGGTGAGCAATAATGGATCATGTGGGAGCAGAGAGAGGCAGATATTACAGGTGCAATGAAGTGTAAAACTTGGATTTGGTGGTTGATTCTATGTGGGACTAAGAGAGAGAATACGCTGTCTGGTGACTTCCAGGTCTCTGCCTTTAGTGAACAGGTAGATAACAGATGGGATTCTCTTAAGTGGAAGGTTAAGTAAGGCAGAGTAGGTTTTGAGGGAAAGATGATAGGCTAAGTGTGATGTCCATCAGGGACCTTGGGCAGGCTGTTGATGGGTGTGTGCATGAGAGAGAGTAGATGAAGTCTTTGAGATTGGGGTGTCAAAAAAGAAGAAACACAGACCAAATAAAGACCTCAGGGGTCTCAGGGAGGAATAGCAAAAAGAAAACCCCAGGGAAGAACAAATTTAAGCGATGGAAAAAGTAGGTGGAGGCAAAAGGGGAACCCATGAGGTCTGCTCCTCCTTCACTGTCCTCAGTCTTGGTAAATGATACCCAGAAATCTGGGGGTCATCTTTAACTTCACCTTTTCCCACATTCCATCAAAACCAAGTATTGTGAGCTCTACCTCCTTAATTATCTTCCAATAAGCAGAGTCTTGCCGTGTTACCCAGGTTGGAGTGTAGTGGCGTGATCTCGGCTCGCTGCAATCTTCACCCCCCCGGTTCAAGTGATTCTCCTGCCTCAGCCTCCCAAGTAGCTGGGACTACAGGCACCTGCCACCATGCCTGGCTAATTTTTTTTTTTTTTTGTATTTTTAGTAGAGACGGAGTTTCACTATGTTGGCCAGGCTGGCCTTGAACTCCTGACCTTGTGATCCACCTGCCTTGGCCTCCCAAAGTGCTGGGATTACAGGCGTGAGCCTGTTGTTACAGGCACCCGGCTGTAACAATTTTTAATTAGAAAAGGTTTAAGGGAATGGCTTGCAGGAGTCCCAGCCTGATGGTACACATGATAAGTGAATTGGATTTGGTCATTAGCATGTGTCAGCCACATTCTCTTTTAGCTGGTTTAGTGGTTTGGTATTAGGAATGCTGAGTTACTTGTTCAACTGACCTTCTAGGCTTGCCAGTTGGACAGATTAAATCTAGTTAACCCATCCCTGGGTGGTGAAATTGTCCTCAACTCAGATATGGAGGCGGTTTGCAAAAGTAAGTCACTTTTCTCTTCACGTGCTGCAAAAGTAAAAGACATCTGCTGGCTATTTTTAAAGCCCCAGTAGTTTTATGGAATACTGTGCTGAGAAGTTGCATGTATTATACATGTTTATGCTAAATGGAATTGTGATTTCAGTTCACAGCTTTGAGCTGGCTACTTGAAGAAATCCCACAGGGAATTGTTTGGACAGAAAAACAACCTTTTACATAGAGTCAGCATGGTTCCACTCTGTTGCATTAGGTTTGTTTAAAGTT